CAGCAGGAAGGTGTGTCCAGTGTAGTAGAAGCGAACTTATGGGGCAGTTCTAGACCCACTTCTTTGGGTTGGTTTTTCAGCCCCAGGTTTCTACACTGAGCAGGTAATTCTAGAATTCAGACCCACATTATATTTGGTATAGGCTAGGCTTGTTAGAGATTCTGATTCTCCAGGCCAGTTCTATTGCTTGGGCCTTAGGCACAAAGCCCTGCTTTCTGAGCATCTTTGAACAGGAGCAGAGTTTTCCCTACCCTCTGGGCTTTCTATAAATTGCTCAAGCCCAGCTCCTTAGCCTCTGACCCCATATGGATACTGAAACTCTGTAATCTAAACTATCAATCAAGTTTGCTTCATTCTCTTACTTCATAGATATTTATTGACTTTCTACTATGTGTAGCTACTCTGCAAGGTGCTGGGGGCCTAGACCAAGCTCTTGCCCTTTACTGGGCGTGGGTGTGGGTGGGAGGCGGAGGCAGGGAAGAAACAATCTAAGTTCTGTGAAGAGAATTAAAACAGAATGATGTTGTCACAAATATGATGTGGAGAGAAAAAAGAAAGGAATACATAATGTAGGACTCCATTCATATAAATTTCAAAACAATCTGTGATATTAGAAGTCAGGATAGTAGGTGAGGGAGTGATAACTGAAAGAGGGTTGATGGGGATGCTGGTAATTTTGGGTTCTTGAACAGAGTGTGTTTACTTTGTGAAAATTCATCAGACTGTACAAGAATATTCACCACAGCCCTGATTGTAATGGCAAAAGGAGAACAATCTAAATGTCTACCCAAAGGAGACCTGTATCATTTTGTAACATGGGGAAATATCTGTAGGATTAATTACTAAAAGGTTCTGGACATTTGTAATTTTGATAGATATTGCCAAATTTGGCCATGCATTTTTAACAAAGTTTTCATGTAACATACATACCGTGAAGTGCATACATCTTAAGCATATAGCACGATTAGTTTTACAAAGTGAACACACCTGTGTAACCACAGCCCAGCTCAGTATATAGAGTGTTTCCTGCATTCCAGAAGCTTCTCTTGTGCCTCCTCTCATTGTTACTTTCCTTCAAAGGACCACTCTTTCACTTTATCATCATTCGTTAGTTTTGCCTGTTTTGAACTATTTATGGTTGAAAATGTATCTTTGAAATTATTCCTATAGAATATAGATATGTCTGTATATTTGGAATTGGTAACCTGTTGGTGCAGAGGATTTCTCTTTGTGAGCTCAGCCTGATGTCTGGCTGAAATCCTGGCTCTGGACCTCTTTGTGTCCAGTGTCGAAGGTTCCAGGATCCTTTGATATTCTGACTCCAAGATTCTGTGGCGTCACCAGGGCCTGAACGGGGTGACAGAAAATGAGAGCCTGGAAGTGCCCTGACACATTCTGAAGGCAGACTGAGTGTCAGCACCCCGAACCCCTGATGTGAGTAGGGTGCAGGAGGGGGCTAAGAGTGGGAACTTGGCTTCCTGTGAATCTTAAATGTCATTATGAAAGGGGCTCCTGATTGGTCTAAGTTTCCTCAATTTGCTTCCTCTTCAGCTAAATTATTCCTTTATGCCTATGGTCCTAGGTCTGGTTTTCTTCTTGTGTAATTTCCTCAGGGTACCTCAGAGAACTGGGGATAGAGGTGAGGGGGAGTGGGGAAGAGACAGCATCCAGGTGCTTGGAGAGGGATGCCTTAGTGTCTCTGCTTCTCTTTTTGAGTCGGTCTCTGCCACTGTTTATTTGTGAGGTTTGGCTAGCGCTTTCCTTTCCCTGGGCCTCAGTTTCTCTGGATGTGTAAAGAGGGTTGGACCAAATAGTCCCAGAGTGCATTTTGTGGTCGCCCTCCCTGAGTCTCCTTGCTCTCCGCTTCTGGGGTTGTGGACCTTTTTCTGGGTGTATCAGACTCCCTGTGACTCAGTTTCTCTTTCCCAGCACCTCAGTCTTCCCAAATCTCTCCCTGCCTTGTCCCTGCCCCTGTCGGTCTGAATCTCAACCTCTGAGTGGAGTGAGTGTCTCTATCTGCCTTTGTGATCCCCTGACAATGGGAGGTAAAAATAGCCCAGGGGCCGTGCTGGTGGAGATAAAAGGGAATTTGCCTTTTGTGTCCTGTGGCCAGGCC